TATCATATTGTATATAAATAGTGTGAACATTTATAGAATATATCATTGTCAAAAGTAACAATGAGTACATTCAGATCAATGAGATTCTTTGAAATAAAAATATGAGTATGAAAGCTTACTTAGTTCACAATGCAACAATGATATTATATCATTTATTTTGAATAATTATGATGTCGAATTAATTGGTTGAATTATGATTGCTCATTATGCCAAATGGAATTTTCTGCATATCATTACAATACTTTGAAATATATTTTAAATAATTTAAATAATTAAAATAATTAAAACTATGATTATAAAATTGAAACCTTGATACAATAACTTTCAATGATTATTTTATCTCATTTTAAGAAATTCATTTTTTTATTATTAAATGACTCATTCAATGAGGACAAATCTTATTAGTTTTGCGTTCATACTATTAGATCTTTAACAAACTGATTAAAACTAACACAAATTTGATATGAACATGATGTTCTAACAGGATCACATGTTACTTCACATTAGAATTTTTGAGTTCTTTAATCCACAAGTCATAATATATTTTTTACTATTCTAATTTATGTTTATTTCAAGAAAAATAGACATTTAAAGATCATGAAAATGTGGGAAGACATTTGCGCTAATTAACCTATAAGTATTGAGGATTTCTAATAGCTAAGAGTAAAAGGACATCTTTACCTCCCTCATGACCTCAAGTCTTGAGTCGAGTTTTCTACAAGGAAATCTATAAGAAAGTGGCAGGGTCAATCTTTCTGCCCAATTTTTTGTTTAGCCAACTTGGGAAACCAATTAAGTGAGGTCAACATGAACTTCTCTATCTTTCTTTTTATTTTATTTAAGGGACTAGTTTTGGGTATTTTCCTATCCCACCCCCATTGGTATAAAAGATATCCCTCTGCTATATCAAACCATCACATTCAAGCTATTTTCCTAACAAACTAATATAAGAGCATTGTTGGGGCTGTAGAATTAATACTTTGAAGAAGAGACAATATTTTGACAAAGTTTGACATTGAGAAGTTCGATTTCAGTATGAACTTCAAAATATGACAGATTGAGATCAAACCTCTCTCAACCCATCAAAGGCTCTAAAAGCACTACTTTGAAATAAAAAAATGTCAAAAAATATCTTTCTTAAAGGGAAATAAGAATTATGTGAGAAGACATGGGCTGTAATTCAATTAAATTAATAAAATGAAGGTTTGAAGTAAGGCTTTATGAATTAAATTGGGTCATTAGATATGACCAAGTCACTCAACACTAAGTGATATGTGAAAAAGGATAGAAAGTTCCTCAATATAATCACATCTTTAAAACATTTATCTAGTTGAATATTTTTGAATAAGTTAGCATCTTTGAAGAAGAGAGTGACAATTATGTTCCTTTTGATCAAGCCATCAAACTCAAAGATAATTAATCTTAGATTCAAATTTTTGACATTAGATGATTGTGAATAAAAAGTTTTCCTTCATTTTCAACCAAATTAGTGATACAATTATCTTAAATAAGAAATATATATCATATAAGAAATCAGGTTGGTTTAATTGGAACTAAAATATTTCATGGCTTTATGAGAACATTGATGGACATCAGGTACATTCCTTACCTAAGGGAAAAATAATATTTTAGGCACTCTTATTGTTAACGACTCTTGGTATACCGCTAGAGGTAGAGTAAGGAATATAAGCAAGCAAACCCTTAATATGACTATCTTCATGACATAAAAAATGTCACTAAAACACCATTGTTAGACATACGAACAAGAGACACTTGCTTTGTATCTATTGAACAAGAGAGGCATGCCTAGTAGACAAAGTAATAGAAAGGTAAAGTTTTGTGAGCATTGTACTTCAAAGAAGAGGAAGAAAATAAGCTTCCAAATAGTAATTCATAAAATAAAGCAGCAAAAAGGATAAACATAAGCCTTTTACAGAATTGAATTTTACGATGTCAAATGTAAGTCTTAGGAAATATTTTTTGGCAAAAATGGGGCTATCAATATTTAGCAACCACACTAGGCATTTAAGCTTTGAAAGAAGTGTTATCAAGTAATTCTCTTAACTATTTTGATTTAAATGTTTTGGCTACCAAACCTATGCCATGTTAAAAAAATATTTATTTGTTATGATTTAAGTATGAAAACATATAACTTATAGTGTCTTGATCCAAAATATCATTATCCTTAATTTAAAGAAATATTAATTTTCAATTTTACATCCAAAGAAATAGATGTCCCCCAAAATTAATTGCAAACTGTGGAATTTCAAGTTATAGGCTCAGATCATGTCTTATTGTCAAAGACTAAACTCGTATACCTCACTCAAATTATTCTCTTTCTTGAGATCAACAAAAAAGAGAAATTAGACCACCTTTGAAAAATAATTGTGTAAAATCATATGCAATAGATCATTACGTTACATATTTGATATTCGCATATGAGATATTAGGGTCTAATGAACCTCAAAAAAAATTGGATGATATATCTCATAACAATCTTAATAAGTGGCTCATTTGTATGGAGGAAGAGATTGAATCACTTCATAAAACTTGACTTGAGAGTTAAGTTTCTAAAAGAAAAATGGTTTTTAGGGAAAAATAATAGGTGTACATAACATTGAAGATGCTCGATAAAAGAGACAACTAGTTGTAACGCACTATAGTAATGTGGAATGTATCAACTATAATCATTTTTCTTCACCTGTTAATAACTATAAGTTTCTTTTATTTTCACAGTTTTAGCTACATCACATAATTTAGAGTAGATGTATGTTACGCACTATAGTATTTTTTTCCTAGAAAACTTGAAGAAGAAACTTATATTATAGCAACCAAAATGTTTTCAAGTTGAAAGAACCATGTTTATTTGCTCAAGAAGTCTTTATATTGCTGGAAGTGATATATTGTAATGGCATAAGAGATTGATATATTTATAAGTCAACACGTTTATTTAAATTTTTTTTAAAATGTTTATTTCTTTATTTGTTGTTCTATGCTGATCATATGTTAATTGTAGCAAAAAAATATCTTTGAGATCACCAGGTTGAATGTATCATCTTTCAATGAATTTGAGACAAAAGAGTCAGGAGCATCCAAGAAGATTCTTGTAGCAGAGATTAAAGGAAACATCGAGACAAACAAATTACATCTGGATTTGGCTATGTAGAGATATATATTGGATTTATGGGCCTGGCCCATTTTCTCTCACTCCTCACTCTTATATGTAAAGGGCTTCTCGGCCCTCTCATTTTAATCATTATTTTATTCACGGCCACACTCCGGTGATCGTCTTCTCGGCACCAACAACACGGGCACCTCGCTGCGCTAGTCTCCTCCCTGAGCTCCCACAGCGCCCGCACCTCCCCTGCCGCTACCGTCGGTAGCCCGAAGGGGGAGAGCTCGAGGGCCGTCCTGCGGGGCCACCGCGTCTCCGCCGGCACGTTGCGGGAGGCGCCACGGCTACACGAAGGGGGAGAACTTTGTGTAAAAGATATTAAAAAAGATTTTAGGCACTTCAGAACTAATCCTGCCTCCTTTTGTGTAAAATATATTAAAAAGGAAACTCAAGGTGACAGAATATACGAGAGAAAGACCAGAGATCCAGGGAAGGAGGAAAGATGATTACCAGGGAATTTTCGGAACCAATTTTGTTTGCCTTCTACCTCTTTCCTTGTTTCGTTGCTGTTCTTGCGGGGAGGGATCTGCGTGTTTGTACTTGTTAGAAACTCGCCGGAGAGACGACGGCAGTTAAGACGTCGCCGACGAGATCACCACGGAGTCACAGGAAAAACCCAGCAGGAGGAACAAGGAAGACTATCTCGCTATTCAAAACCTGTTACAGCCCTCTTTAAATAAGGGAGCAAAAAGGGAGGAAAAGGAATAACCGTAAGCAATAAGCAACCTCTTACAGCCCTCTTACAGCTCTAGGCAGGTGTGCCTAGAGACGTGTAAGGCCTATGCCGTTACGCGAAGAGACGTGCAAGGCTCCCCGTTCACAACAGTACTCAGTCTTGCGGGAACCTTAGAAACATCAGTGACCCTTTCAGCCTTGTTGGAGATCCGCCACTCTGTGGCGAGCACGAACTCGTCTGCGACGACAACGTAGCCATCTTAAAACGCGGAGCAGGAAAATACCACGTCATCAATATTTCATACGTAAACCAGATGATCCATGTAGTCGACGAAAGATTGGCCAGCGGCAGTTGCAATCTTCCCTCTCAACCTCTGTTCCCTGACTCATTTGATTCTGGATATTGGGGGGCTTTCGTTACCTGTTTGAGCATCGTAGATGATGAATCATATAAACCCGTGAAATGCTTGAGCAACGAAACCAATCATGTGCATCTTGTGCACAGCGTTGGTGGATGTGAACTCCAGTTTTGGAAACCCTCGTGTCATATGGTATCCTCAGTTCCCCTCACATGTCAATCGCTGGAGGCTTGGACCTCTGTTGAGGATATTTTTAAGGTTCTTGCAAAGGGCTTCTTCCTAGACAGGAGATCTCCATGGCTGGGAGTTAACTACTGTAGGTGATCGAGATTCCGGTAAGCAACTAGCCTCATCAGTCTAATACGTTCTTCAGTTGTTCTTATTATATTATTCTTTAATAATTTCTTCATGATGATGATGCTGCATGGTTGTAGAAATAGTAGTTAGATTGAAACAAGTCAGATTTCCAGAAAATAAGATCCAAAATGAATACTTTGATTGACTCCACTTTTAGGTCCATACCCGGTAGCCTTACCATCGGAATTCTGACGATTCCGATGGCAATCGAGTCAGCATTCTTCCGGTGTATTCTACAGCAATCCTTCAGTTGGCATCTTGGTAGAACAATCAGTGTAATACTCACAATACTGTTACTAGTTGGGATCAGCATTATAGGTAGGCCTGTATTGTTTTGGCACCCCATTATCTCGTCCTTCTCAACATCTTACAACATCCGTCGGTAATTTCACAATCTTTTTGTAGGATTATCACTGCTGGGAAACTTAATTGGGATGCCCTTGTGCGTCTTCGTCGCCCTCCTCAGAAAATTTCAGGAGGAACACGCTTTTGTCGATATCGTCGAGAAGTTCCTGAAAAATCAGAACATGCTCACATCGGCGAGGTATACGTACCCTGAGATTCTTATAATCACAAATCCCTTTGAGAGGAAACTGGGGCAGGGGGGCTTCGGTTCTGTCTTCCAAGGAAAGCTCCATGGTGGGTACCTGGTGTCAGTGAAGATGCTCTGTGACTCCAAGTTTAACGGAGAAGACTTCATCAATGAAGTCTCCACCATTGGTCGGATTCACCGCATCAACGTGATGCAGCTCATCGGATACTGCTCAGAGGGACCGAGGCGAGCTCTAGTTTACGAGTACATGCCAAATGGCTCGCTGGACAAGTATGTCAGTCCAGGGAAGCGGACGGGTCCCTCACTCACATGGGAGAAGCTGAATGAGATAGCTCTGGGCGTAGCTCGAGGAGTGGAATATCTCCATCGAGGCTGCGACATGTGCATTCTCCATTTCGATATGAAGCCCCACAATATCCTTCTCGATCAAGACTTCACGCCCAAGGTTTCAGACTTCGGGCTTGCGAAGCTGTACCTTAAGGAGCAGAGCTTAGTGCCCATCAGTGCTGCGAGAGGGACGATGGGCTACATTGCCCCAGAGCTCCTCTCCAGGAACTTCGGGCCAGTATCCTACAAGTCGGACGTGTATAGCTTTGGGATGCTGCTGTTAGAGGTAGCTGGGACAAAGAAGAACTTGGAAGCGGTCACAGGGAAGTCCAGCGAAACATACTTTCCGGATTGGGTATACCATCGTCTGACGAAGGAACAAGAGGTAGAAGAGGGCGTCGACGGGAAAATGGGTGAAATAGAGAGGACGTTATGCATAGCGGGGCTATGGTGCATTCAGATGAACCCCTCGGATCGTCCCTCCATGAGCAGCGTCGTGGAGATGCTGGAAGGAAGAACACCGGATCTGCAAGTGCCCGCCAGACCTTTTTTCCCTTCATCTGAGAATTCATTCGCTGGAGGATCTACCATTGACTCTTTTTCAACGGAATTGCTAGCAATTTCCGAGGAGTGAAGTTCCACTAGCAATTGCCTGGATGTAAATAGAGCACTTGATGAGAATTAAAAGATTTCATTCTGATAGAGAGAGAGATAGAGTATAGATATAAAAAGCTTCTTGGTTTCTAAAGAATAACAGTAGTTTTTACTAGTTTTTTACATTGTTAACTCTGATGAACTTTGTCTTAGCTAAAAGTGCCATTCTAGGGTTCTACACTTCTTTTATTTCCAAATGGTCTAAGAATAGCCAACTGTTTAAAAGTAAAATTATTATCTAAGAGAGAAAAATACAAACCCATTTCGTTTATAAAGAAGAATAAAGGTCACTGATTTTGACCAGAAAGAACTAATACCCCATTTTTATGGCGTCATATATTATATCATTAGTTACCAGCTTTGGAAAAGCATGTGCTTGATGACAATAGGCTAGTCTGAACCCATGACTTTTTAGAGGCCTTAACCCAAGCATTGTCATCGACCAGACCACTACAAGAGCTAAATATGGGACATTGGCAGGGTCAATCTTTGGGCCCAATTTTTTTTTTAAGTCAACTTGGGCAACCAATTAAAAGAGGTCAAGATGAAATTCTCTATCTTTCTTTATACTTTATTTTAGGGACTAGTTTAGTGTATTAAACTTGGCACAGCCCTTTTAATTTGAAAGATATTCCTTTGTTGTATCAAACCATCAGATTTAAGTTATTTTCCTAAAAACTTAATATTAAAGTACCATTGGGGTGTAGAAGTGATATTTTGAAAAAGACAACACGTTGAAAAAGTTTGATACTGAAAAGTTCGAGTAGAGCATCGACTTCAAAATATGGTAGGTTGAGATGAAAGTTCTCTCAACCCATCAAGGGATTTAAAGGCACTACTTTGAAAGAACAAAATGTTGAACACTATCTTCATTTAAGGGAATAAGAATTAGATGAGAAGACTTGGATATAATCCAATAAAACTAATAAAAAGAAGGTTTGAAGAAAGTCATACATCATAAGACAATGGCTGCATTATGACTTAAATTAGAGTCATTGGATATGACTATGTCACTCACTAATAAGTTATTTCAATGCTAAAGAAACTCACATCTTGAAGAGATTAATTGAAGTGACAATGCTAAGAAGTTTTTGTTTCTATAGAAGTAAATGACCAATATGCTCCTTTTGATCAAGTCATTATATCCGAAGATGATTGATTCTTGGATTTGAGCTGTCAATATCATATGGACTGTGAATGAAAAAAAAAATCTTCATATTCTAGAAAATCAATAGTAAAGTTGTCTTAATGAAGAATTGTGTCACATAAATACTTGGGTTGGTTGAATTAGACTAAAATGTTAGATGAAATTTTGATAAAATTGCTAGAAGTTGGGTATATTTCTTATTGAAAGAAAAAAAAATATTTTTAGGTACTCTTATTGTTAACCATTCTTGGTATTCAGCTAAAGATAGAGTCAAGAAGATAAGCAAAAAAGTTGTCATTGTAATAAAGGGAAAAATGTGTGATTATATACTCCTTATTAGGGGCCATTTTTTCATGTGTGTGACTACTGTGACAATCTTCATGACATAAAGATGCCACTAAATTTGTGATTTATAGGGTTAGGGATATGAGCAAGAGAGACTTGCTTTGTATATAATGAACAAGAGAGGCCTATTTTGAAAACAAAGTACTAGTAAGGTAAAGTACTGTAAGCATTGTATTTTTAGAAGAGAAAAAAAAAACTTCAAAATAGTAATTCACAAAATAGAGTAACCAAAAGGATAAATATCACTCTTTTAAGGATAACTAACATTATGTTGTCAAATGCAAGTCTTGACAAATATTTTTTGCTTTAAATGGGGTCAAAAAAAGTCTGCCATTTCTTAAATTGAACTTCTGCAATCACTTTGGTCTAAACTTTGAAAGAAATGTTAACAAGTAATCATCTTGACTATTTTGATCTAAGTGATTTTGGTTGCCAAATGTATGTTAATGTTAAAGATAGATTTGTTTGTCATGATTCAAGTATAAAAAGATACAGCCTATGGTGTCTTGATTCAAAATATCATAATCCTTAATTACAAAAAATACTAATCTATAATTTTACATCCAATGAAAAAGATGTATAAAAAAGTACATTTTTCTTAGACTGTTGAAAACTATGTGGGATTTGAATTTATAGGTTGACATCAAAAAACTTCATGTCAAAACCAAACTCATATACCTGACTCATATTTGGTGGAGCCTACTGCAAAATTGTGATATTATTCTCTTACTTAAGATCAACAAAGAAGAGAAACTAGACCACCATTGAGAAATGAATATAGAAACTCATACATAATATATTATTTTGTTAAATATTTGTTACTTAGCGCAGATGAAACATTAGACTCTAATGGACCTTCCACATTTTTAGATGTTATATCTCAAGGGGAGCTTGATTAGTGACTAGTTGTTGTGGACGAGGAGATTGAATTTCTTCACAAAACTACACTTGGGAATTGGTAAAAGTTCCTGAAGGGAAGAATGTGGGTGGCTATAAATGGGTTTTCAACAAAAGAATGAGGCATTCATAGTATCGATGATGCTTGGTACAAGAGACAACAAGTTGTAAAGCATTATAGTAAGGTGGAAGGTATTGATTATAATCACATTTCTTCATCAATTATTCAAAAAATATAATTTTATTCATATTTACCTAGTTTTAGTTACATCACATATCTTAGAGTAGATGTATGCCAAAATAGTGTTTTTGCATGGGAAACTTGACAAAGAGGTTTATATATAATAGCCCAAAAGTTTTCAAGTTGAAAGAAATAAGAAGCATGTTTGTTTGATCAAGATGTCCTTATATTGCTCAAAGTAATCTCCTATGCAACGTTATAAGAGATTTGATAAATTTATGATTTATAATGTTAATTTGAATGTTAAAAAAACTATTTATTGATTTGGTGTTCTGCACTGATCATATTTTGATTGTAGTAAAGGATATGTTAGAGACCAGCAGGTTGAACGTATTATTCTTCAATCAATTTGAGATAGAATACTTCAGAACATCCAAGAAGATTCTTATAACAAAGATCTAAAGAAACATGGACACATTTTGAATGCATTTAAGCAGTGTGGCATGTGAGATGGCAAGCATATTGTTAACCCTCTATGTGTTCTCTTTAATCCAATGGTGGAGATTTGTTTGGTGGAGTTGGGAAACCTATCAGAAAAGCTTTTCATGATACTCTCCCTCTTCCCTTGTATTTTATATTTTAGCCACTTGTTTTAGGTGCAAAACTAATCTTGCCCCTTGTGTTAAAGATACTAAAAAAGGGAATGTAAGAAAGAACAATCGGAGATGGAGCCCTCTCTCTCTCTCTCTCTCTCTCTCTCCGGCATCTAAATTAGGGATTTGAAGTCTCCCCTTTCAAGGGCCTTTTGGTCATTGGTTAATCATCCTCTATTATTCAATCTTTTTCCTCGTGCATGGTGAAAGCTCTGTTTCTCATTTTGGTGGCCTGGAGAAGCCGTATTAATCTGTCCATCCCACATTAAATCTGTGGTGCCATTTTTCTCCCAATCTCCTTTTTCGCAAGCATTTATTGCTCTGTGGATATTGTTTATCTCTTGTTCGTTCTTCCACTATGATATCAGGCCATCAGATTCAAGCCATTCATTCAGCAATTAATAGCAGATAATAATGCAAACTTCGAAAGTCATTCACCCACCTTAATCGTCCCTTTCTCAACAATGGTTTGGTGTTGTGAAGTAAAACGATGTTCAATCATCCGTTTGAATCAGTCACCAGCACCTCGCAAGTCACAGATTCAACACCTGGTCTTATCTTACCAGCTGACCCCTTGAATGAATGTCAAGATCAAGCTCATACCATGTCCTCGGCCCTTCCATGATCATCTCTTGTTGGCTAGTGCATGCCTTCTTTAATTCAAACATCACAATTGATCTAGTAATATGGTGGTAGAAAAAAAAAAGTCTGGAGGTTGACCCACTCGAATTCGGTCATCTATCTATCATATTGCTTGATTGCCCTGTTGTTTTGTTGCTTTGTCTCAGCCCAATCCACACGGACAGCCCCCCCTGTTATCAGTTCTGTCATCATCTTGAACTTTATGAAATAACGATTGTTTTCTTCCATTCATTCCATCAACTTTGATCGCCCCAATTCGCCGCTCTCCATGGTGAGTTTCCTGTTGAGATTGGGCTTAGGAGGCACGATGATCTACGACAGCGAATCAGACCGACTCCACATTCGCCGCCGGATGCCTGGTTACTAGACAGGCTGCCAGCTCAATCATTCTTCAGACGTCCAGGACACCTCCTCGCAGAGCTGCCAAGACGATCTCTATCGACAGTTCTCCAGCATCTTCAATGACATCTTTGAGCTGCCACCACAGCGTGACATCGACCACGGCATTCCACTCCAGTCAAGAATGTGCAATACCTTTCCAATACCCATAGGTTCAGAAGACCTAAATAGAAAGGCTCGTCAGCAGAATGTGCAATGCCTGGCATTTCTACGTTGATTACAGAGCACTCAACAAGATTACAGCCCCAGACTGCTTCTCAATTCCCATCATGGACAAGCTACTCGATGACCTTCAAAGGCAATCATTTTTCCCAAAATCGACTTGAAATTAGGCTACCACTAGATCCGTATCAAGGAAAAAGATGTGCTGAAAATAGCTGTTCACATCCACAATGGCCATTATGAGTTCCTAGTGATGCCCTTCGATCTATGCAAAGTGTGACAACATTCTAAGCCCTGATGAATAGAATTTTCTTCAAAGATATATTAATCTTCAGCTCCGAGAAAGAGAAACATTGACAGCGCCTCACTGAGTTACCTTCTATGTCAATGGCCATCAATGACGTATTAATCCGAGGAAGTGTAGGTTTAGACTAGCAAAGATCGAGTGTTGGGGCCACTACGTCTCTGTCCGTGGCATGGAAATAGACCAAGGGAAGATCCAAGTAGTTCTAAACTAATCTCCACCCCAGAAATTTGAGACAGAGATGTGGATTCGTAGGTCTAACAAAATACTACCACCATTTCAGTCGGCATTATGGAGTATTAGCACAACCTCTCACCTAGCAACTCAAGAAAGACATCTTCAGATGGGGAGCAGCCATACACACAGCCTTCACCTACCTCAGTTAGGCGCCGACGACTGCATTGGTTCTTAATCTTCTAGATTTCAAAGTCAATTCGAATTGGAAGCTAATGTCTGTGGCCCAAGCTTGGATGCCACTCTCATGCAACAAAAACAGCCCATCACATTCTTCCATCAAGCATTGTCATCTGCTGGCCATCCGAAGTTAGTTTGTGAACACGAGCTAATGGTCATCGTCCTCACAGGTCTAAAATGGCATCACTACCTCCTCACACATAAATTTAGTATCTACACTGACTAGAGAAGTCTCAAGTTCCTCCTAGAGCAACGACATGTGACACCTAAAGCATCATAAGTGGCTCATTAACCAGGCAGCTGATGCTCTGCCTTGAAGGCCACAGAACCCAGAACTTCTATCTACGTAAGGTACCAAGCCCGAACGACTTGCCCTCTAACGTATCACACGAGAAAACTAAGTCGATCTATGGATACAGTGAGTCGCAGAAGCTCTCTGATGTGGGACAACCTGCTAGTTTGGGCTTAATGGGCCTGACTAGGGTCAGTTGATGCGGGACAACCCACTGATGGGCTCTGTGGGCCTAACTCTATGCTAGGAGTTCGGCTTCAAGATTACTTAATGGGTTGTGAGAAGGGAGTGATCCTAGGTTTAAGACGTTTATTGGGCCGGTGATCCTGGTTGGCCTGGTAGGCTAGGTCAGGTGGGCTGGGTCAGGTCGTCAAGGTGGCTCGACAGGTCCGGCTCAAGCCAGTTCGTAGTCTCACGAGCCGGTTGTCTTTTAACCCTAATCGGTTGAGATGAGGGGGCAACCCGACTAATTGTGCAGGTTGAGAGAGATAAGGCGGCGTCGGCGGCAGCAGAACAGTCAGAGGGGCTCTGCCAAGGATTGTGGCAGTGGATGACGGCAGCGATGGTAGTGACAGGCGAAGGCTGGAAGGCGGGATAATGGCGCCAGAGGGAGACAGCGACAACGAGGCAACTCATCAAGGGTGAAGAGGAGGAGGCGAGAAAGGCAGCGGTGCCTCTGGTAGAAGCCCTTTGGTCGTCCGCCGGTGCAGAAAAGTAAGAGAGAGGCAACCTCGAATGACCCCATAAGGACTCTGCACATCTTCTCCAGGGCCCTGCGAGCCTCGACGACTCCCGAGGAGAGGCGATTCGTTGACAAGAAACATAGAGACCTCGGTGAGACTGCCAGAAGAAGAAGAAGAAGAAGCGACTGTGGCCCTGTTTGCGATTATCAGACCCGATTAATCCGGTTGCAGACCTTCGGGCATCATACACAGTTGAGACGCCCATTAGTTCAATGAGATAAAGAAACAACGGGGGATCAATCAACTTGGGCAACTCAGACCCTGCAAGTACCACCCACCGCCGCCGAGCTTGAATCGAATTTCAAGAAGCCCAGAGGACAGAAGAGCCCGGGGGTTGAATCTGCCTGACCCTTCTTCCTTTCTTCGGGAGAGGGGGAGAGAGAGAGAGAGAGAGAGAAGAAAGGCCCGCGAGGCAAGCACGAGTCTCTTTCTCTGAGTAACGGAAGGACGAAAGGAGGGCGAATGTGCGAGAAAAAAGGATACATAGATCGACACGCGGCAAATAGGCGGAAGAAGATAGAAAGATAATCACTGGTGGAACCGTCATCCACACTGCGCCCGGAAACTCGGATTACCCGGCATATCTCCGACGGAAACAGGTGGCTCGGAATCTCCCCTCTTCTTCTCTCAGCCGACAGCCGTGCTCCGCCACTCGTTTCCTCGGAATCGGCGGAGGAAAACCACCACACTCGCAAAACGGAGGAGAGAAAACGAACACGGCAACGCAACCGGGACTGTCACAGAGACCGAAAGAGAGAGAGAGAAGAAGCTGGCGGGGAGGCCGCGACGGCGGAGATGGGCAGAGTAGAGGTCAGGAATAACGTAGCGGAGAGGAAGGAGGAAATCGAGAAGAAACGGAATTGGAGGAGTAAGAAGGGGCTTCCGGAAACCGAACCGTATATCACGTTTTGCCGCCAAAACTCCGCAAAGGACGGATTTGCCGCTCTCTTCTTCAAAAAAAGGCGCGAATCTGGTAATCCAATGGCGGCAGGGGGTAGAGCAGCCGTTGGGATCACGCCGCCCACCCCGGGGACATCTCCACAATTTCCGTTTCTTGAAAGACTAGGTAACTAACTGCCCACTGCTCTGAACCATTTATCCCAAAATAACTATCTATCTTAGGTAGCAGGTTCTTGGGCCCAGTCGACGAAACGTTGACTTCATCTTACCATCTTGGGAGCTCTTGGTTGTGGAGGATCGATCAGGTGTCAGAGATGAAGCCAGAATCACAGTTAGTCAAGACATTTTAAGTTGACTTGAAATGTGATTATCATAAAATCATACCATAAAAAGATGGCCACCTCTACTAAAAAAATACTTTTTATAACTCTAAATAGCCAAATAAAGAAACCCACTGAATTACTTACTCTGGGGGGCCAAAATCAAATCAGTATACTGCTAATCCCTTCTACATTAGTGGCTCTAAATGAATAAAGCATGAAGGGTCCTCTTCTGTGAGCTATAGATGTCTTTCTCTCTCTACTTTGGACCACCCAACCCTTAATTGGCAATTTTATGAATTTTCTAATTAATTTTTTTTATTATAAATGTTAATTATTTTATAAATAGTAAAAAAGGTTCCCTTTTGGCGGGAATTATGGCCAATTTTCTCGAGCTTAAAGCCATGATAATAGAGGGATTAGACCCTAATAATCGGTGGTCAGTTTATAGGGAGAGGTCAGCCCGGGAGAAGAGGGAGGCAATTAATTAGTCCCATAAACAAGGAATTATCATCTCTTGTCAAGGTGAAACCAAGTTACACAGATTTGATTCCCCCCTGCCCCCGCGTTTACAACGTTTCCGCGGTAGGGCGCGTGTTTCTCGAGGGAGGGAATTCGAAATGCCCGATCCAGCCGGTCCAGCGGGTCCAACAAGTCCAGCACGGTCTTCTCTCTCTCTCTCTCTCTCTCCATCTCGGGCCGTTTTGCCCGACGGGCGGAAATTTCGAAAATTTTAAACCGCCCGCCACCGCCTTCATCCCCCGCCCGCCCCCCTCTCCCACCTCTGTCTCTCTCTCCCCCATCCCCCCCCCCCCCACCCGCGCCCCCACCTCTTCCTTTCTCTCTCTCCTCCCTCTCTCCTCCCTCCCTCTTCCTTCCTTTCTATACCCCCCTCTCCCTCCCTCTGTCTCTTTGTCCCCGCACCCCCTCGATCTCTCTCTCTCTCCTGCAAGCTCTATACCTATGTCTCTGTCTCGATATCTTTATTTATATCTAGATAGCTTTCTCTTTCTATCTCGATTTCTATATCTCTGCGTCTTTTCGTCGCTGGCCTGTGGCCACGAGAGCCAGCCGGGGGAGGAGTGTGGAGAGATGGAAGCGGGAATCAGGGTTCAGAACTACAGCCGGAAGGAGAAGTCCTTGGGCCTCCTGTGCTCCAAGTATTCCTTCCCTGCCGTCCCCTGTCTCTGTTTTTTTTGCCTCGGAGGAATTTGCGCCTTCATTTATGCTTCTATGCCACCCACTTGCGAGCGCATTGCTGCATTCATCTCGTAGTTGGATCGGCCTCTTGACTCTTTCCTTTGCTTGTCTGTGCTTCGTCTGCAGCTTCATAAGCTTGTACAATCGAGATGGCGTCGACTCCGTGGGCCTGGACGATGCTGCTGCCCGTCTGGGGGTGGAGAGGCGTCGGATCTACGACATCGTTAATGTTTTGGAAAGCGTCGGAGTGAGTGACCCTCGAGTGGATTTCCCTGTGGCTTCTGCTCTTGCTGGTTGATTGATTGTCTCGTGTGATTAGTGTTCGTCCTCTTAATCTCCAGGTCCTCTCCAGGAAAGCCAAAAACCGCTATTCCTGGATCGGCTTCTCTGGAATCCCTCAGGCCTTGACGGATCTAAAGGTAGGCACTCGTTATCACGGAGGTCGTCGGAGCGCTACTCCTGCCCACATTTCTTCTAGCTACTTCACAGATTTCGTATCTCAGTTCCTCCCAAACCTTCCCGTTGCTTTCCCCATCAGCAAGAGGCGCTGAGAGAGATCTCTGGCTATCCTGCGTCGAATGCATCTTCATACAAAGGGGTCAGTGATCTAGAGTTTCATAAGTTTACCGTAGAGCTTTCACAGCCGGAAGGAAGACGAGAGCTGTTCATTAGGTTTTCCCCGTTCTGGTTTTGCATCCTTTTGCTGATACATCGGTGGCGATCTGAAGGTGTCGGAGGACGAAGAGGACGATAAGCCGTTGCATCAAGCTCCGGGATCTGGCGCCGATCCGGCCAGCATCCCCTCGAAAATTTCTCCGGACAACACTCCCTGGAAACCCAGAACTGGTAAATATAATATTCCTTCCGCCCCCTCTTTCTCCTTCTCCTCTCTCTCTCTCTCTCTAATGCCAACCTTGTTCTGCGTTGACGTTTCCAGTCATGGAGAACCGAAAAGAGAAATCTCTGGGGCTGCTCACGCAGAGTTTTGTCAAGCTCTTTCTCACCAGCAATGTAAGTCCACCCTCATCATGGAAGTCAGTCGGGCTTACCATCATGGCCCCCATATCATCATGAACCTTTAGTTTCTCCATTTCCAGGTGGAGACGATCTCGCTCGAAGAGGCTGCGAGATTATTACTCGGAGATGGTGATTCCTCCATGATGAGAAGTACTTCAACTTCCTCCTCCTTGGTCTCTTTTGGGAATTGAGTGTCGCCCTAGAGAATCTAATCACTGCTGCATCTTTTGTGTAGACAATGCGGCTAAGGTTCGTAGACTCTACGACATTGCCAACGTGCTGTCCTCCCTGAAACTGATCGAGAAGGTACCATTCTCGGAGAAAGTATTTGCTTTTCGTCTTGGACATGTTTCACTCAGATTGGGTTTTCCATCGAGCAGACCCAGAATTCAGAGAGCAGGAAGCCGGCTTTTAGATGGTTGGGTATAGAGGGGAAGTCAACCCATGCAGCCACTGTTCCTTTGGCTCCGATTGCCAAACAGTGGAACAAAAGGGCATTTGGTACGGACGTTACCAACACAGATCTTAAGAAAAGTAAGTCCATCCCTTCAGTGGAAGGGAAGCAGAGGAAAGTGATACGAAGTAGAAGTGAAGATCTAAAGGAGTGCAATTTGACAGCACAAAGGCAGCTTCAGGGCTCGAAGGGTCATGCTTTTGGGCCATTCTGTCCAATCAGTGTGGCCAAGGGTGAGCATGAAGCAAATGGTGCGGATGAAGAAAAGGCTCTTCTTGATTGGGAAGCTATGGCCGCTTCTTTTCACCCTCAATACCACAACCAGGGTAAGAATCAGCCAGTTCTGTTGCGCACTGGGAGTCATAAATTCTATGTCACCTGAAAACTCTTAAAACTGGTGTCATTATCCTGCATCTACTGTTCGACTGTAATTATTTAATTTATCATATTGCATCCTACCTATGCATGATGGTTAAAAATGCAAATCTTTGGTCCGTTGAGTGCTTTACTAATTGGATCTCACCGGATTTAGCCTTTGTTCTCCCCATGTAAGTACTTGGCTTTATTGCCCATATATGTCTCCAACCAGCAGTTGAAGATAATCTTGTATTGATAGGGTACATTCATTTACTACATTTTTTATGAATGTCTTCAAAAGCGATCATATCCCTCCAGTTTCACAGTGATCTTTCATTTGTTGCTCTTAGTATCGTCAATAAAGCCTTTCCATCTCCGATTACAGGAACGTGTTGCATTTTCAGCACAGTTTTTTTCCTTAGTTTGAAAAGTGGGCATGTTACTTCCATTAACATGTATCATTTACCATATCAAATTGAAAAGCATCTATTGTCTATTTTATTTTATTTTCCTTCCATCTATGTCGGAGGCATGCTTTGTGTTGATCTCGAAATGCTTAAGGAATGTATTATTTTCAGCACGTTTTTTTCATAGTTCGAAGAGTGGGCGTGTTACTTCCATTAACTTGTATCATTCACCATATCAAATTGAAGAGTGGGCACGATTTGTTTTGATGACTAACCTTTCCCTGAAATGCTCAAGTGTACTGAAAGCATTCCCATCTCCGCTTTCAGGAATGTCACAGTTTCAGCACATTTCTGTTCCTACTTTGAAGAGTGAGCATGTTGCTTCCATTAACATGTATCATTCACCATATCAAATTGATAAACATATATTCTCTCTTCTTTTTTTTCCTCTCCATGCGACCCAGAGACATGCTTTTGACAGCTTGCCGTTTATTCTTTTTTGAAGTTCTCGAAGTGTACTGAAAGCCCTGAAGTCTCTTACTTCGGGGGGTGTGCGATTAACTGCACAGTTTTTGGTTTGGGGAGTGGTAATGTGACTATCATTAACGTATGGCATTTACAGCCTTTAACTGAAGAACATCTACTTTCTTCTTTCTTCTTTCCATATGGTTGACAAGCCTGCTTTGTTTTACTTCAGAATGCTTGAAAATAATGGCTTCTCTCTCTATCTGGGCACTAGATTATGTGGGTAGATTCTGACTTTACCTTGCTCTAACCTTGCTCTATCATTTCTTTCAGCTCTGAGTGAACTCTTTGCTCACTACATGGAGGCCTGGAAGTCATGGTACGTTGAGCTTGCTCAAGACAGCAACTCGCTCGAGCTTCTCAGTCAAGTTGCCACCCCGCCTCTATCCCAGGAAGAATTCTGATCTTGCTTGCTGTAAATAAAGATCACCTCCGCGGGTTCCTCAGCAGCCCACAGAGCAGCCCCGGCTATGGCTGGTCGGAGGCCATGGAAAGGAAGCAGATGTGTGACCACAGCTGCCCAGGAGACCCGAGGTGTATAAAGAATGTGTACTACTTATTTTCCGATGCTCATCTTTTTAAGTTATTAAATTAAATCAAAGCGTGAGAGCTTTGTACGCAAGATTTCCACTCTTATCCCCGCGGCGGCGCTGCCCAAGTTCCCAAGAAGAGATCCTGAAATCCTAGAGTAAGAGAGAGAGAGAGACATTGTAGGGGTAGTTTCTCCCCGGTCGTCAGGGTTTCGTCGGAGAAGAGGGCGAAAGAGGGAGAAAGATTGGTTAGAAACCCTAAATTGGCGCCTTGACATTTCCCCCCACTACTTCAAACACTTTGTCCTCAAGGTGTGGAAATCATCATAGATGCCTTTAGTGAGCTCTCTTGTCGCTTTTGATGACGGTCACTTTTGTATTGACTAACGATGTAGCTTTAACAGCAGTCTGTTGGGCCGGTCACTTCTCTTGTTCCTCCCACATTTTGGGGTTGACTTGAATGGTCAAAGGTTGGTGGACTTTCCAAGCTTTTATGGCATGAGCTTGAATTAGTTGGGCTAACTTTAGTATGCCTTTTAGTCTAAAGGGTCTAAACATTCTTATCTTGGCAACAATTTTCAGTCTTTAGACTGTTGATAACATTGCCCAACAAGATCTTAAGTGGCAGCTTGGGTAGAAAGGTGACGATGGCTTCTATCTAGCATGGGGATATCCAAAGCACTGCAGTAACATATAGTTTGTACCACTCAAGAGCTTCACTCTGGTGTACTAGTTAATTTGAAGAATAGAGCTACTGAGTTGGGTCATCACCTTGGGTCCCATGGTCGCCGATGATCGGCAGTGGTGTGGTGGCGGATCAGTGGTGGTGTAGTGGTGAGGCTGTGAGAGAGAGAGAAAAGGGGAGGAGTAAGGTGGGTTTGAACCTAAATTAGGGTTTTGAGGTACTGTCGAGACCCTGGCAGCAGAAATGGGCCTGAGGACGAGGTCTCGAAGGAACCGGCCCAGCTTAGTAACGAAGCCAGGGAGGGCGAGCGGAGCACGCGGCAACGGGACACGAACCGTACATCATCAGGGGCAACGATGCACCAGATCCTGCAAGGCAGAAGACGAGGGGCGGCAGAAGGATCCGACATCGACGGGTCCTATCTTGTACCGAGTCCCATCAAGGAGGGAGTGCGTCAATGCTCCACGACGGCTAAAAGTTAGAAGAAATGGCCTCAAGAGAAAGGGGAGAAGAATAGTTGTAAAGAACTCCCTTGAGACCATCTCGGATCGTGACCCCAAGATCATAGGTCTTGGTTTGTATCGTCTTCATTCCGATCTAGTTCACCTTTATCCTCTCTCTCCTCCTTCCTTCCCTCCCAGTTTTTCTTTCCGGTCCGCATGATCTCTCCCTTTGCGGCTGGCCCAGTCAGTAGGTCGTGGAGGTTGAGTCTTCTTCCATGGAGTCAACGAGAAGAGTCTTAGGCCGCGTCAACGGGAACCCATCAGCCACCCCCAGCCTCCTGTTGACTTATTAGGCCAGCCCTAATGGGTCCTGGCAGGATCATCCGACCAGTTCACTTATCGGGGCCCTGTCCATGACACTGGATGCGGCCATGGCATTCTTCTGCAACTGTGGATCGATATTTGGCAGCTTAGGTATCTGCAAAAAAAAAAAAGAGAAAAAAAAAGAAAAAGAAAAATTGTGACGTTAGGGATGGGAGGAGGAAGCCAAGAGGGCTGCTGCTTAACAGAATCAGGCGTTGACTTTTTCGGTTTAACTGGTCCTATTTATTCATCATATGGATGTTAATATTGCAACTCATTCCAAGATTCTAGGAAATTAAAATCCTTGCCCTTTGTGATGCATGCGCATCACAAAACCAAGAAATTCTCCACACCGAGAAACAAAAAATCACTCCACTTTTTGGGCCTCACAACAGATCAACGAGTATTTTGGCTCGTATTTACTGAAGCATGGCTGTATAAATGAAAATATCAATATAAAAAGTCAACGCATCAGTGAGCATGGTTCTACAACATAATCAAGAGATCAAGAATCATACGCAATAACTCAAAACCAGATTCATACTTTTCAAGATCATTAGACGTCAAAAAATTGCATTATTATATTACAGATGAGGATAATGTACCTGAGCTAATAAATCAATTGTCCGACGTAAAAGACGAGCCAAATCTCCGTCATCCATGGCACAATCCATCATTATTTCTTTCCAAGTCAACCCGGACGCCCAGGCTTCGACCATTCCTGAAAACTGTGCATCCAATACACAAGGTATCTGTAAAAGAAAACAAGATAAGTTACCCGCATGTTTTTTTTTTTGCTAGCTTATTAAAACCGCAGGTTAAGTCCAACAGATGTTGACCTGCACGCCGTGTTTATCTTGGAGCTGCAGTAGTGCAATCCTCTGCTCCTCCAGATATTGTATGGCATTAAGCACAGTGGTGGACGGTTCATAAATATAGCTACATGTGAGGGGGGCAGAAGAAAAAAAGAAGGGTAGTAAGATCTTCTTTCCTTCATGAAATTGATTAGTCAAAACTGCAATCTTTATGTGAAAATCAGGCTAAAGCAGAGTGCTCTTGGCAAGGGACAGACATTGACCTAAGCTTGTAGGGTGGACTAGTGTACATGTTGAGTCACTATCCTAAATTTTAAAATTATTTTTCACATAAATTAATTTATTTTAGAAATAATAAAAGGTTTGATATAGTGCACATCCTTATGGAAGCCATCAGCTCTGACATGGATATTCAGATATCCATAAAACTAAGCACAAAAGAAAAACAGTTTTCAGACAAAAAAAAAACATCTTTTTAGATATGGGCAAACTAAATTTGTCCATTGATCTCTCTGCTGAGATACAGGCCATATCGTAAATACTGTCATAATAAAATTTATCATCTTAATTTAAAATAATTACGATCTTCAGACATTTCCCTTTATGAACAAAGGAATGGGAAATAATAATACGATAATCTACGAAATAATTTGACAAAAACGAAAATTGTAGACGTATATATCTATCTATATATATATATCTCACCTATTATTTTTCCAAGGACGAATTTTGATTCCCTCAGAGACCAAACTACCACAGACGGAAGCAAGCTGTGGTGGCTTCAACTCACACAATAATTTATTCCTCAGAACCATGGCAAACCATAGCTCATTTTCTCCACGGATTGCTGCTGCTGTTTCACCCAGAGGATATATAATGTGGGAGTTGATATCCAAGGCTCTAGCTTCCTGTACCACATTACTGATCTGGTAGACGCAAGGTATTAGCATACAGCTTAGAGTGTAATCAGCTATTTCCCACTGGAATCTTATAGAGAATAAATGCATAAGCAAAGAACATTATAAATGACATGCAGAAAATAGATTAATGGACAGCTAAGTTACTGTGGTTAGCAAAATTTTTTGTCAATAGGATGTCAGAAACAAAATAACTTTGTTTATGCAAATTACATCCGTAAAACAGAGACAGCTAATAGTAGAGTTATAAAATATTTAGTTTGTTCAATAAGAAGCCTTCTACTTACTCTCTGTAACCTATAATCCGTCAATGGTCTCCAGAAATTCTGAGGCGATGCCATTTTTCTAATCTTTAATGTAATTATTGACACTGCCTTTTGACATTTTATTCAGAATTAACTTTTAGTACGTTCAATGATGTAAAAGAAGATATGTAATAAAGATCAAAGAAATTCAAAATTCGTCAAGTTATTAAAGGTTAATCAGTAATGGGACGCGTATTAAACATTCAAGAATCTCTAAATCCATAAGACACCCTATTATTGCACAGAAAATTCTCACGCACTTCAAATCTGCTAGACTTGTATTACAACCCTTAATAATTAGATATTCTCTCGAAGATATTTGAAAAGGCTAACTTGTAAATAGGTTCAGAAGAAGATGGGATGTAAATCTGAGTATGCTATATTAACAATCAAAATCGAATCAAAAATTGAAAATGTAGCTAGAACTGAAAATTCCTTAAAATCATGAACTGCACATATCTTTCAAAAATATGATAAAACATCATCACCTCTAGTTTCTAGGACAGAATAAGGCAAAATCTCGATACATAAATATATGTTAAATTTGAAGATAACAACTGTACTAATACTGAGTTTGATCCTTAGGACATCTCTATTCATGGTAAATAGAGCCAGACACAACCTGGTAAGACTTGTAAATTTGCGACATTGAGACATGCCATAAATTCAGATAAATGTCTTATCCGCAACATTTTCAAAGAGAATAGATATTTCGAAACAACCAGTATCACCTCTTCTAATGAGATAAATGGTAGCAGGTGCTCTTTTTAACGATAATTCTTCAAAATCGGATATTTTGAAGAATTTGATAAACCATTTAGACAAACGTAGAAATAAATAGTAACACAAGCCACCGCCATAAATAATCTCCTGCACAGTGAATTTGTTCGTCAATGTTGCTAAACATGACAGTGGAGTTACATCTACTTGCACATACGATTTGCCCCCAAATTTTCATGGGGAAAATTAGGTTTCTGCTGGCTCCTGTTGCATTGTATCAATCTTTACTAGATTGAGTCCTATAGAACAAAGTGTAATTTCATTAGTCACACTGTGATATTTACTTCGCATATCCTCTTCGCTAAACTTTTTTTGTCATTCTACATCTGATGAATCACCAAAATAACGCACTAGGGAAAACCTGTGAGTTACATTGGCAGGCGATATGATGTAGGGATGAAAAATCTTCGTAAACGAGACAACAGAAAACGAAGCAAGGGAAGATACCTGCAGAAACTCCTTCCAACCAGAAGGTTCAATTTGTTCAATTCTCCTGACTAAGCGTTTTGACCTAGCATCCAATCTCTCGATCTTTTCCTTTGTAAAATTAACTTGATCTATAATCTTCTTAAATTCTTTGAAACCTTTGGCATTTTTGATTTTTTTCTTCAAACGTGATACCTTGCTTTTTTGTTCTCTGTAACACTCCACAGCAGATTGGTATGCCGGAGACCATGGTTTCATCTAAGAACAAGGAAAATTAAAACTCAAATGATCTCAAACATCAAATTAATAACAAAATTTTTGATATGATAAAAAGAATAACTACCAACTTACAGCAAAGAGAAGAAACAAAAGTCGAGTTGATGTAAAATGTGTTTTTAGCAGTTCAGAATTCAGAAAATGCTTCATGGATACAATGAGAGAAACCTCTATGAAAATTAACTAATTCTGGAATTTTTCTAATGTTTATGAGTTTAAAATCATCAAGATATATAGTAATTAATCGTCCAATCGGTGTCATGTGATTTTGTTCCTGCAGAAGTACATGAAATAAGTCAATGAATAAAACTATATTACATCAGGAAGTTTGACAAAGCCTTTGATTGCATGGGAAACAAAAATTCATTTAATGCGAATATGATTCATGTGAATTAGTGATTGAAAGGCTCTTTTACAATTAAAGCATTATATACCTCATCATCTTCTGATAGGCTACTCAGAACTGGGACATTGAGACTCCACGACCATGTTTCAAGAGATCCAACCATAGACCAGAGGGGCCCAAATTCAGAGTCGGCAAGTTTCTCCCACTGCATGGTTTCCTTCATGAAGAGTTCCTTCAAGGAATCAAGAGGTAAGACATCCCCTTGAGATAGAGAGACATTGGGAAATCCAGTCTTGTACAACATCTTAATCCACTTTTCTGTAAAAAGGTACCAAGTGTTATCTGAACCTAATGCCACATAACATGAAGGCCTACTGTCCGCTGCTTTGTCTTCAAAATCTCGCTTTTCTCCCTTGTTATTCAGTGACGGAGTATCAAAATACACCTGTCACACGACACCAGGATAAATAGTCAGGATTAAAAGCATTCAAGAGGGTATCTAAGGAACAACTGAAAGAAACTATGCTTGAAATGGATTTCGCTGACAAGGGAAAGTTATTGGCAAGACATAAAATGGAGAAGATAAAATTGAAAGGATGATTGAAATCATCTGGCATCTGTACTTTCATTTGGTTCTTCTAGTCTTCAGTTTGCTGGACTATTCTTTCTAAAGAAAAATGAATCTTACACAATAACAATCACTCCTGGAAATCAATTAAAATCAGTGATTTTGTGTGGACCAGGAGAGACTATGAGAATTTGGATTCCAATGTCTTGAAAAAAGAGTCTGGCGGGAGCCCAAATTAGTTTCTTTTTTCAATTCCAGACCTTTCTTCTGCTTATTGCCGCAGTACATCTCGGCGAACATTCCGACCCAGTTATTTCCTGGTGACTTCAAGTAGTTTTCTGCCTCTCTTAGCTGGAAGACTGTGCCCTTTTCTTCACTTCTACTTTTCCCGTGTCTTTTTTGAGATTTTTTTTATGCCCCTCATTGTCTGAGACTCATGACACACATGCAGAGCGAAAACAACGACAGAGATGTGATATTTCACATCACATAAGGTACATAAAGACTTACTCCGACCAACTATGGTCAGCATAAGCCTTGGCAAAGTTAGAAAGAAAGAGCTGTGCTGTGCCTTCACGACTAAAAAAAATTTAGAAATGTAGAAAGAGTTGATGATTGTGTTCTCTGATGTAAAGAAAACTATATTTCGCTCATTCTCCGAGCATTCACCGCCACTATTTTGTGTGAACGAAGCATCATGCGGCTCATAGTCTGTTAGCCCCATTCCATTTTCCAAGCGCTCCATGGTTTAACTCCAGTGACCCTTCAGAGGGCTGGCCTTGAGAAGGCAGCCTTGAGCACATTTCACAAAGGTTCTCTAACAGAAGTCTAGATTACATCTCCATCTCTAATAGCCTTCTTTTATCCCTAAAGAAACATTCTAATCTCAGTAAATCCTAACACAACAGTGAAGTACAATTTTGAAACGCTATACAGCAATACAAAAGAGGGCCTGGTATTCATTGTTCTAAAATTATAATAAACAAGAAAGAGTAAGACAGATATAAACACAGTATTTATGAAAGAATCCAGAAAAATAAATTTATCAACATAATTCCTATACTTGCATAACATATAGGAATTATGTCCTGCAGAGGAAGGATTCAGGATAGCAAGTATAGGAATTATGTTGATAAATTTATTATTCAGGATTCATGGCCCACCCTGAATCCTTCCTCTGCAGAACATACAGCAAGTTGGTTCAGTAGTAATCACATAATATAATCATACTCTGGAAGAATTAACAATGGTACCTTTCATTTCTATAATTCAAAGATCATAGTTATTCTGATGCCCAGGCTACATCAGTCATGCTGGACATAAAGGCCGGAGAACAAAGGCAAACTAGAAAGACACGCAGACTGTTCTGATTCTTACCATATTCGTACTTTCAGAAACAGGAAAAGCGTCAACTTTCCCAATGTAAACAGCAGAAACAAGTTGTTGGACCGCTTCATTATCCTTGTACTGCAAACAAATGAAAGGTAGGTTGCCACTTTCCAAGCTTTCGAGTACAGGTTTCCACCCAATCATCCTTTCTAACTCCATCCTTCTCCGCAATTCAGCACGTACTTTCTTTTCCACCTGAGAACAAAAAATGACAGTTTATTATTTGAAACTGGAATTGAAATTAGACTTTCACCAATCATTTTAGGTGATGAATGAACGAAAATAAGGTGATCAGTAAGCTGATCTGGAGAATAATCATTCAAAAAAATGAAAATAATTAACTATTGGAAGGATTGCCTGGGATATTCACTCATCATTCCTGAAAACATACCAGGAATTCTAAACAAATATGGAAACCATAACCTTCTAGAGGTGAAAATATGATTCCAAAACACCAAGACAATAAGAGTACGTTAAATGTGTTAAATAGATACCATATTTTGACCAAGTAATCCTTAGTTTATCACATCAATAGGGTCGGTAAATTGGTGATAAAAGCAAGATGAATATCTACTGCAGTTTATGACATATTCCTCTCCCAAATATTGTTCTATCCAATACTTCAAGCTACCACCTAAATTATTAAAAAGATGAATATCTGGGTTCAAAGAAGAAAATCTAGCCTTAATAACCCAAAATATAAGAGAATTGATCATGGAGTACGAGAATATTGCCCCAAAAAGAAGATGCGCCTAGAAAGTCGCCACATTTATAACTAGATTGATCAGTCCAACCTTTGTGACTTACACAAGTCAATATTGATATAAAATCGATTCAGAACCTCCTTTCAAGGTTATTCACTTGGTCACCAAACATTATCAGCTTTCAGAACAAAACAAATTCAGGTCTGGCTCCCACGTACAGAAATGCTTATAAAATGGTGCATCAAGGTTGTACTTAGTCTACAGCGCAAAAGCATTGTTCAAAGATCCAACTCATCGTTTATTTCTTAGGTAGTAGGCTTGTACTCCCCATGCGGCCAACCATCTAATTAACAGTAGATCATGGCCTACCAATACTTACTTTTAAGAAGATTTATCTAAATTCCGCTTGCAGTTATCTTTTCTATGATGTCTCTGCATTATGCCAATAATGTCATTATGGAAACCAATCACCCAATAAGATTTTTCCATGCTAGATGGGGACTCGAGAGAACCAGGACTAATGAGGCAATGGCTATCGCTTTCCTAATCACACGACCTTATTTGTTACTTATTCATTTTTTGGTGAGTACAATATTGCTAGAAATCGTGTTGGACTTTGATCATCTCCGAATGCCTCCCTTCCTTGTCTGCGCCAGCAGTGAACACGAGAGAGAGACACGAAAAAGAAGAAGGCCGACGCCCTAAATTTCATCACTCTCAAATGCTTACATGCTGGTTGGTATTTATACCGACCAGCTGTTATGAAATGGGAGAGGGTAAACCGGATCGGTTCAATTTCAACCGGTTCAGGCTATTGTTCTGTTACAAAGGTACGATGGACAGGAAAATAAAGGATGAAGCAGTAAATGGAAAAAATATTTCTAACAAATATTAAGCATTTTCCAGTGAGTAAAATAATCAACCACGTATCAATGAACCTTTCTCACAAGTCAAGAACTGAATACGTAATAGATCCTTTTTAAAAGCAAACAACGTACAGAAAAATGGATTCAATAAGAACGTGTAGCATTAAGGTAAAAGTGGAACAATAACATCAATCCAAGTGCATTAGAAGCCATAATAGCATTAAGGCATTAAGAGTTAAAATCAAAGTAGCAGGGCAGTACTCGTAGTTCCTCCTGAAGGCTAGAGATCTCGCTGTATTCTGTCTCTGATAACTGGTCTCTGCATTTTCTATCAATAGACGCATCACTGACTTCTGAAGACAGAAACTCTATTTCCTGTTGAATTTTTCCAAGCTCCTCCTTTGCAGAGATCATTACATTACTTCCAACATAGTTACCAAAACTTTTCTCTATTAGTTTACGAGCTTCATCAAGCGTTCGCCCTGAAGAAAGAGTTCTCACCTCTGATTCCTTCATTCGGCTAGTAACTTTCTCACCCTGCACCACAATTTTACAAATATTAAGAGTCACATAAATAATAGGCAAGGATCTGAAGAGACAAATATCAGATATGATACATACTGCAAGTAGATTCAAAACCATTCCATACGAAGCACTGAATTGTGAAACAAGAGGTTCAAGACTCGCACATAGTAGCTCAAAGCATTCTTCAGCCCCTTCATAAGGAGTCTGGACGAGAACAACGTGACCCTTTTCATCAATACCTCTACGACCTGCTCTCCCAGCCATCTGATGGAGTTCATTTGGGCTTAAAAGTGAGCGTCCAGACTCTTTCCTTTTACTAAGGGACCCAATAACAGCAGCCCTTGCAGGCATATTTATTCCTGCAGCAAGTGTTTCAGTAGCAAAAACAACCTTGAGAAGCCCTTGCTGGAAAAGATCTTCAATAAAAGACTTCCAAAGAGGCAAGCAACCAGCATGATGAGATGCAACCCCATTCAACAGACCCTTTACTGCGGTCTCTCTTACTGCATCAGGGTACTTAACTTTAAATCTTTTCAAAGCTAGTTCTACTTCACACGTTTCACACTGGTCTAAAAGATTGCAGTCTTCAACGTACTGAACTGCTGCATCACATCCTTTTCTGCTAAAGATGAACCAAATGGCTGGGAGCATATCCTTTGCCTGAAGTTGCCTCAACGTGTCCCTAATAAGAGGAGTCTGAAGAAAAATAAATTCAACAAAAAACACCTTCACATTCATTAAACTCATAAAAAAATATGGCGTATTTAAAAACAGGAAAAAATATGATGGAATGCGTAGAATGATACAGAATCATACTTGTGAACGACGCATAGCATTTATGTCATTCTTTGATAGCACTGACTGTCTGGAGATATTTGCGATTCCATTGTAGATCTGCTCATTTTTCTCCTTCCTAGAATTTCTTTTTTTCAATGAACTATCCCAGTAGGGTTCAATTTGTGAAGAAGAAAGCTGTAAGTAATCAAGTGATAATTTCCTGTGCAGCATACAGTGAAATTGTGAGGCAATTTTAAGGCATCCAGTTTAGATTTATAAAAAAACTTCAATGATTACGTGTCAGACTAAATGTTCACATTGAAAACTATACACTGACCTTAGGAGACAGGTTTAAATATTTTTCTATTCACTAACCTGCTCGAGAGATTGATATTTCATCATAGACAAGTATCAGTTGTGTTTCCTAGCTAGTAGTTGAAAACCACCCAATTGAGACTGAAACTGAGGACCTCAGAACCCACCTTCATGATTTTAGCACGCATATAACCTTTAGGGATTCAAACTAGTAGTCAAACGACTGATTCACAACAAAAAATAACGCTTTAACGAATAATGAGAGTTTTTATTCCAAAACATGAGTTAATCATAAGTCTGCAACTCATCTTATTCCTATTATCTGGAGAAAAGGAAATAGAAGAGAAAGTTTGTGGCTCACAAAGATGCTGCACTAGTGGTCCAGCGTACCTTCATGGCACTTGTGCCTTCAATAACCTCGTTCAATTGTCTCCTTAACTCCAGAGAACCGCCTATCTCTACGTCCAGAAGTTTCTCCATTCTTTCACCCTCCACTTTCTTCCCTTTGTTCTAGGTTCCCAGTCAAATGACCCCAGTGGAAAGTGGCTGCTGCATCCATTAACACATCTTGGGTACTTATCGTACTAACCTCATGCTTCACAGTTTATGTAGCATTATCCACAATTCCAAAATCCAATATGAAACTTTCTTACTTCCTACAACCACTATGTATCTATTGTAACGTGATCTTTTTCATCATGTTTCTTCTTTTAATTTGCTATCTTTTGTTCGTTTCTAGACACCAAAATTGTTATTCTTACATTTATGCTCATTGATGGATCAAGGATTTATGAGTTATTTGTCTTAGGATCCTTCTGACTAACTGAAGTTTTTGTTAATTATATCATTTTAACCGAGGAATACCACTGATTAATTGATTTTAAAAAAGATGTCATGAATCAACATATATTTATTATATATAAAACTATGCATAAATTTGGATGTTAATGAAAGACCCAAGATCATCTATGAGATAAAAGCTCATTTGGCAGTCAATGAGACAAAGCCCATACATTAAATTTTTAATTGAAAGCTTATTTCATACCAATAAGATGGAACACATTAAATAACTTTTCTGTCCTGAAATTGTTCGATTTTCATACCAATAAGCTTTTCCACAGTATGAAGTCTATTTACATCTTTTCAAACTAAAACCAATTAGAAAGTCTATGGGATAAAGCACATTCGATAAACTATGGGATGAATTCATGGAAAAGTTTAATGGACCAAATCCTGATAAATATCTTTATTCTTTTAGACTACAAGGCCTTTCTGTCTACATCCATTATTAAAAATAAACACCAAAGAAATTTGACGAGATTTCATCACTATACTTATTGTCCAAGCAAAAGGCACGAATAGGGTGACATACCTGTTCATTTTTCTTCCCTTTGAGTCCAGAAGCGGTAACAAGGAGTTCTTCAATGAAAAGTGCCAAGTCAATGGAACCGGTCGTTTCTTGGATGTTACCAACTCTGTTCTGCCATGGATCTAGATAAAAAAAACATTAAAAGAAAACGAAAAAAATCAGTGAAGAGCCAACAATATAGGCAAGCGAGAAGATACGAGTATTCAGATCTTTCAGTCCATGATAAAACAAGAGGTGAAAGAATTGACTTAACAAAAGATCTAAGATGAGATATTAGCATTGCATCAATACTTTAAACTACAGGCTTTCAAATCCCAGAAAATATAGCCATCATTTTAGTATTATCCTTTCCAATAGACTGAATACACTAAACAAGAAGGCAATTCATTGGTTACAAAAAATATCACATGCCCATGAGTGAAAAATCCATTTAAATCCAAATGCAGTCGAAACTTGTAGGGAAGTTTCTACTAACATATGTCCTTGACCATCTTCTTCATGTGATTGCCAAGTTACAGGGTCATTGATTTGGTTAAAGTCAAAGACGAAGCTAGTTATCTAGGTAACTATTTTCAGGCTGACGTTAGAAGGTTTGACCAAAATTGTAGCAGTTTGCCCCTAAACCATCACTAGGGACTGAAGACTCCTAAGTCAGAGCATGAGAGCAGATTATTGCATATATTAAAACTATAAATTTTCTTCTTGGAACTCTTTCCAGACTGACTCAAATAGTTTGCAGATTGGAGTAATTAATATATGTCGACGTGTTGCATGAGGATTGATTTGCTTCTTTTCCTTCAAAGCTTTGTCAAAACATTAAAAGCGGATGTAAGAAAACTTTTCAATCCAGCATCAAAGACGTTTCATTCAGTGATGTCAACATTTCCCATATAGGCGAAAAGAAAGCACCACCTCTAGCTTGACTTGAACTAAGATTGTGGATGTGAAGATGTTAGCTTAAGCAAAAGGCTTTCATGATTACAAGCAAACAAACTTTTCCGATAAACTGGTATGCATTGCATTAATGATTTAGAAAATCAAAGGTTGAATAATCCTGTATGGAAACAACAAATTAATTTCAGACTTCTGAGCAGTTAGTCTTCTTTCTCTAAGAAAAATGGCTCAAACATATTTCTTTTTTTTCTAGAGTAGATATAAATCAAAGAAGCATGCTACCTCCCCAATCCAACCAGCCAGCTCATCAGGATTTGCGACTGTTGCTGAAAGACATATAAGTTGAACCTCCTTGGGGCAATAGATAACCTATTTTTATAAGAATAAAGATTATTCATGGTAGCAAAGATTAGAGACAGGACAGGCCGAGCATAAGCAAGAGTTTAGAAATTACATACTATTTCTTCCCAAACAGTACCACGGGATATGTCACTAAGATAGTGTACTTCATCCAGCACAATCACGTCAACTTCGAATAATCTACTCCCAGAAGAAATCATTCCAATACTATACAATAAAAAGAATGAGAAGATCACCAGTTGTTACATCGGTCGTCTAGAACTTTTCATCGGATTAGAGTCTGAAATATTATTTATATTAAAGGTAAAGAAAATAAATTATGGATAGCACAATCAATCATCCAGTAAAAGAAATCTGAGCTCGTAATCAAAATAATTTATACATCCTATTTATAGCATAATTGTGCAAAATGGGGGCAACTCTGTGCATACATAAATAGCGCTAAATTTGACTTCCTCATTACAAATCCTTTCTCATTCTTAATGAGCATTACTCAGACGAACTAGCTTCGGAAGGGAGCCAAAAGTAGATTAGCCCTATCCAAGTGTGAGATCATGGACTTAAAATACTGACCATGAGCATCTCTGAACATTCCATGGTGGGTGGAGAGAGTTTGACCAGGAATAGGCCACACCAGGATCACGATCAGATCACCCAAATAACCAATGAGGCTGCATCAAATAACCTTTACGGTGATAAAAACTTTTAGTTAAGATATTTTTAACAAAAACTGAGAGAATGATAATATATAATAAGGCACGAGTTTTGGGACACCATATATTTTTAACCTTGTCTCCCACCCTTGATACAAGATAGTTTTTGAAACTGAACGTTCACATAGGAAAGATAGCACCAACATCAAACATGGTTTCCAACATCTATGCAACTGGTCTCGCATTTCCTCTTACTAGTCAGTCAACATATGGCTCTTTCTCCAGATGCAAGAGTGAAGATTGGCTGGATCTTTGAGAAGACCTGGTCTGGATGATAATCAACTAAACCAGAGACCCTGGACTCTAATCAGAATGGATCAGTTTGGATCGTAATTTGCTAATTCTTCTAAACATGGAACATCTTCATTAAAGGAATCAAAAACATTCCAGAGTTATAAAAAGAAATCTTTCACATATAGAAGTAAGATATTGTGGAATAGTGTCAACATTAGCCATGAAGATATTACGAGTACAAGGGCATAGCATTTATATGAGTACTCGGGTCACAAAGAAAACTGACTATTAGTGGAGTAGGCCCATTTTTAAAATCATAAATTTATTTTTACAATCCTTAATACGAGATAATTCTTTACATTTGTACAAATCAACTTTTGGACCTTGTCACATTTGTAATGTCAATGGGGTCGTTCAGCCTAATAGGAGCCAATAGTTCCATACTGGTTATTAGAAAAATGAACAAGGTTAGAGTTGGATAACCTAATAACTCTAACATGATGTCAAAGCTGGAGTTTCCAGTGGGGACCAACTTCTATCTCCAACAGACCTCTTAGCTCTATTGACTGAATTTTGGATGGTTGCGTGAACATCAACACACCTGCAGCAATGAACAAAGGGTTTTCATCTTTCTCTTGAGATGGGAGGTTGGGGGTTGCAGTTCTTCAATTAGCAAAGAATTCCTTCGCTTCATTGTCGTCACTGGTGAGCGTAGCCTTGTTCATAGTGGTTTTCCAGCTGCCTAGTGACTTCTTCTCCCCACTTTAAAGGCATAATTCGTGCAGCCGAAGATGGCATCCTGACTACCTGTCAATATTCCTAAGCTGGCACAAATCGCAATGGGCTTCTTTTCCTTTTTTCCATCGCCCAATACTCATGGAGGCATACAACAGGGACGGTTCAAGTTGACACATTTGCATCCCACAGAAATCTGCCATCTTTCCTATTCAACAAGGCCATTGAGCTGTCCATTAGACCAGCTCAATGCTATTTTAATACGAAAATATGCTTCCAACACGGGTCATGAGGTCTGACGCTCACACCAACCTCCTCACGAAAGGCAACTGCCCACACTTTAAAGTGCAATTCCTCCTCATCGTAAGGGCCTCCTTAACCATGTTTAGTGACACAGAACAGCCCATTGCACTCTCCTTATTTGCCTAATCTTCCTCTGCAAACAATATTAATGGTAAACTCCCAGATATCTAACCATGAAGTGTCAAGATTCGTTCTCATAGAACCTAGTGGAATAAATGACCGAAACCACCCTTTGAGGAAAGGATCGCTTCTGATCAAATTTTGGAATTTCTAATGACCTTTTTAGAATCTTTGAGTTCAAATAAAGCAAGACTCAGATTTCAAAAGATGGGTAGTCTTTAGCTAGTCTCAAGTCCGTCTCCGACTTTGAAACTTAGTTACTGAAACTATAAATTGGATTAGGTGAAGTTTACGCAAATGAACTTCCAGGGAAGAAACAGCGAATAAAAGGGGTTCACAAAGTGAAGAAATGTACACATGACCTTCCGGTTGGAAAGCAGATATTTAAATTATAAATACATAAAAACTCGTGAAGTAAAATATATCCTCTGTACTCACCTTTGGTAGAGCATGTTACGCAATATTTCTGTAGTCATTATTACTATCTGTGCATCTTTATTTATAGCTGAATCTCCAGTTAGAAGACCAACACTATTTTCACCAAATGTGTCCCTGAAAACAATTTAATAAGCATGGTTAAGCAACAGCGTAAGAAAAAATTACTTTTACATAAGCTTAATGTGTGCCCCAAAGTAAAGTAAAGAGTAATCTTTTTTTATTACCAACACGAAATGTTTAATCAATAGAAAACCAAGGAGATGGATGATAGTATTTAACAGGAGAGAATTGAAGTACTTCATAAAGAGGAAATTAAAGCGTAACTTACTTAGAAAAGCATAAAAAAATCTTTGAAATCAAAACGTTGAATTGCATTAAAAACGTGAAAGAATAATGCTCCCCATCCCCAGAGAGAAAAGTAAGGAAAGAAGAATGAAAAACTTCCTAAAGTTTAGATGCACAGATACAATTAAAAGTTATTCAATAAAGATAAGTACTAGATCTCCCAAGGGATGATAGTACATAATCCTATTATGCTTAAAGTCACTCAATCCACATCATTCATTACCAATGGAAACTTTTTGATAATTTTCGCATCTTTATATCTGAAGAGTCTGAACCAAATAAAGAGAAAGGCACAATTCTTTGTGTAATGTGATACAGTGACATTTTAAACGTATTCTCCTAATGAACCCAAGTTACCACATCATCAAATGTAACACTTTAAAGTTTACCAAGCTACGAGAACACTCTACCAGATAAAAGATTCCCGCATGTAATGGACTACATCGTCAGAATCAATTATGTTTTTTTCTTTTTGTGGGAAAGAGGACAGTGCCACATTCAGATAATGCCTTTTTAACTCCCATTCCAGCCGCACTAAACGACAGCAGAAGGTACTGTGTATAAATATGGCCATTGCATTGAGTACTTCATCCAAGGGCTAGTTGAATTCATAGAGTAGGACAGTTTTACTAACACAATTTGATTTTATGCCAAACATGCCGCGGGGAAAAACACAGAACCAAGGGTGAGGTTGTCGGTCAGTTTCATACAGTTGGTCAGTTTTCTGATTTGGTTGAGTATCATATAAACCATGGAATTCAGCTTTCCTTTTTGAGGAGGGGGTAATTGTATATAACCAGCAATTATTCTATGAATTGATATGACGGAAAATTTTCCCCACTGTTTATTCTAATTTGGTCTGTCACTATTCATACGGACCATAAATGAATGGGATATAAGAGAATCACTATCCTTTCCATGCTCAAGAAAATTAGCAAATTGCAAACCCTTTTTTGAACCATAGACAGTGAATTAACCATTCAGACTTCCAATATAAGCATTCATCAAAATCTTTGCTAACCACAAAGAGACATGCGGCCATTGAAATTGCATATAATACACAGCTATCCGAAAATCAAGAGATCAGAATGGACCTCACCCTATAAAGTCACAGAAATCAAGGTCTGGTGCTACAACGAATTGACAGTAGTAACAACATTTTATTAAGTCAACAAATCATAGGGTACTACACTCAAAGATATCACATAAAAGCCAGGAACTTTTCCAGGGTATGATATTCAGCACTACCCCAGGAATCGTAAGAAGATTTTGGTAAGCTTAATTGAACCCCCTTCAATCGGATAAGTGGGTGGACAGCCCAATCCTCCCATCTGGTACATTTCCCTTCTACCTTATGGTTACAAGGGAACAATAGCTTTAGTTTCCCAAAGCGAGAGGATGAAACTAATGCACTAGATGTCTGCCATCTCTCCATGAACCATTCCTTCCACAATACAAGAAGAAAAGAGGATACGTGGTTGCAATTCGACCATCTGAAGTATCCATTACATCATCATTGCAATGTGATCCCAGACTAAACTGAAAGTCATGAGTTGTACCTCCTAAGAGAAACTGGCAAGAGTACTCCCTATTGTAGGACAACCTGAGAAGAGATTTTTTATTCAAAACACATGGAACGATTTGTAAACTAAGTGGGGATAAGGCATGCATGCATAACTTATTCCATTAGTCACCGCTCTTCCAACTTTCAACATCATCTTTCTAGAAACACTTGCACTACATTTTATCCAGTTGATGCTATTAACTTTCTACTTCATTTATCAAACATTGAACCGTGAATGAGTTTTTCACATTCCCATTGATAAACAGATTATAACATTGATAATTCACAATGAAAAAAAATACAACAGGATAGAACTGTAAAGAGGCAAATGCGAAACAAGGTGAATATGTCAAAACACGCATAAAAGTAAATATAAACCATAATATTATCATTTAAATAATTTTCTGTATAACTTCAAAGGAAGTAATAGCCATTTCATTACCGAAACTCTCGATACTTCTGATTAGACAAGGCCTTCAATGGAGTGGTGTAAAAGAGTCTCCTACCCTTTGCAACTGTAGCTACTGCTGCAGATTCTGCGATTAGAGTCTTTCCACTGCTTGTTGGCACAGAAACTACGACCGATGAACCTCCCAAAAATGACTGGATAGCTGATTGCTATAAAAAAAAATGTACAAAAAAACATTTTAAGATTGGCGTACAACCACTGCCCAATGGATAATGCTAGAGTAGCACATTAGAAATTAGAGTCACCATACATGCATTTCATCGACCATTCGGATTAATGCAGCTTACACTTTAATTCCTGCGCAAGACAGCATTATGGGGGTATAGAGTTCCAAAATGTACTATGAAATTATGGATGTACACCAGCAGACTGATTCAGGACAAAGGACAAAAAATAATAGAAGAATAGTATACATCTAAAAATTCCTATAGGGTCTACCTATGCTGACCAATGAAGTCATGACTAGTCAATTCATAGTGTCACCTGCTTTAATGTGAATATAAACAAAGCGCCATTATAATAATTCCAGAACTTCATGCGGACTAACATGTATCCTTGAATTCTAGGTTGTCAAAGATCTTTACAATTGCATATGCAGTCAATTAATTGGTTTCCCTCCTGAGTGAAATTCTCAAAAGTTTCCGATCAATTATGATGGTTTCCACGAAAAGTTTATAGATTAATTGATATTTTAAGTACCATCAGAAAAAAGTACATCAAAGGAAGTAATGAAAAAATTATTATTTCACTGATGATTTTTTTTGGAAAACATAAAAACACATCAATTAATGACAATAGGTGCTATGAACGAAAGGAAATGATTGTGAATTGTGGCCAAAGGTCTCAGTCGGAATTTCATGATACACGAAGATTGAATAGCCGACCATTGAACGTCTACAAAGGTTCTTCCACGATACAGAAGTCATGAAATTTGTCCATTGAGCTTTTAGTAGAAGGCATTTTTCCCAGAGCATGTTGGAGAAGCAAGGGGTTGCCAAACGCAATTTCATGAAAATTACAGAGTGACTTGAAAATAAAGTACCGAAAGGAGATACTTTTCGCGGGAACAAGAAAGGAGGAGTTGCATGGAGAACATCTCACCTGAAATTTGTCCAAGGGAAAATCGTAAATCCCCGCCAACTCGTTGTAATCTATGATCTCCTCGCCGAACTCCTTCACCTCGGCGAGGAGCCTCGCAGCTCGCTGCGATTTATGCTCTTCAAATCTATACGCCCGCACCCCATCCCCTACGCCCACAGCATCAGTAGCTGCCGCCTCCAATCCGTCTTCCTCCTCCGACAACTCCAGCGACCCGTCAACATATTCCTCCGCGGCTTCCTCGTCGTCGTCGTCGTCGTCATCATCCTCCTCTTCTTCCTCCGAAAACTGTTTGCCAACAGGGGAAGAGGACCGCGAGGAGCCACGAGAGAGGATGGAGCCCTGATTCTGCCCTCCTGACGCGCCGCTGGCAATGAGCCGCTGATGCAGCGGGAGTCCCCAAGAACACAACCCGGAATGGAGGAGGAGAAGACCCCGGCATCGGAGGACGCGACGGCCTAGTGCGACGCCGCCAGCATAAAGCGGAGAAGAGGAGGAGCTACATGGCATTGCATTCATTGGCGCTCACCTTCGCCGGAGAGGCTGCCGGCGGCGGGTCTGCAGGCGTCACCCTCTCACCCCGGCCGGCGTTATCAGCTCCGCCAGGAGGGAGGCAAGTAGTTTGAAAAGATGGGATAGGGAGGAGAGGGATGGACGTTGGGTGGTTAAGAAAAAAGCTCATGATTTCTTCCGCCGGTTATCACACCGGCCCCTGGGAAAAGAGGTGACCATAACCCGCGTGGAAAATTGTTAGACCTTTTTTTATCAACTAAACTGAAAGAAAATACGTCACCTCTCTCTTTCTCTCTCCCTCTCTCTCTCTGTGGATCCGCTCTGCCCGGTCTTCCTCTTCCCCCGACTGACTGTGCTCGCCGCCGCCGGCGAGCGCCGCCATGAACGCCGAGCGCCGCCGGGATGTCGCCGGCGACGGCGGCCCGCTCCGCCTCTCCGTCCCTCCCCGCTACGGTCTCCGCCACTACCCCGCCTTCCCCTCGCCGTCCCTCTCCTCCCCTTTCCCCTTCTCGCCTTCGGTCTCCTCCACACCTTCCAAGCGCCGGCTCGCTTCGTCGTCCTCCTCCGGCTCCTCCGTCACCTCCGTCTTCTTCCTCCTCTTTTCCCTGCGCTCCCTCTACTCCCTCCTCCCCTTTCTGCGCGCCTCTCCTCCCACCTTCTCCCTCTTCCCCTTCTCCTTCCTGGTCTCCTTCTTCTCCTTCCTCCTCACCGCCCTCTGCTTCTTCCTCCTCCCCTCCCCTTCCGAGCCTCCTCGCGCTCGATCTCTCCCATCCCTGGGCGGCCTCCTCCTCCCCCTCGCCGCCAAATCGCTCCTCCTCGCTCTCGGATTCCTCCTCCGCTTCCAGGCCCTCCGCACCTGCGGAACCGCCGCCACCATCCTCGTCGAGTTCTCCGGCGCCATCGCCGCCAGATCCATCTCTCACTCTTCCGGCGACGGCGACGGCCGCCGCTCCAGCCAGATCGTCGGATTTGCCGCCCTTGCCACCGCCGTCCTCCTCCTCTCGCGCGGCTGGGATCGGATCGGATGCTTCCCGATGTCCTCCTCCTCCTCCTCCGGCGACGGCGAATGTCTCAGGATTCTCCCTCTGCTGCTCCCCTTCCTGTCGGGGGTTCTAGGGTTCTACGAGAGCTCGGCCTGCAACTGGCCGCCGCTGAGGAATCTCGGCCGGAGGAGGCTCCGCCTGGTGTCACTAGGCCTGACGACGGCCCTGCTCTTCTTCCCCGCTCTCGTCGGCTTCATCGTCTCCGAGGGGGAGAGCGGCGGCGGCGTCGCCATGGGGAACCTCGGCTGGTCTCTGGCGAACACCGTCATCTTCGGCGTCGTCCTCGCCGGAAACCTTGCCGAAATCAAGCTCCCCCCCACTGTCAAAGATCTCCGGCGGGAATTCCTCTCCACCTTACTCTGCACTTCCGCTCTGGAGCTCTTCTACAACCCCCGCCTGTCGCTGCCCGGCTTCCTCCTGTCCGCTCTCCTGCTCTGGATCTCCGTCGACCAGTTGGCATCATCCTCTTCTTCCTGGAGCCCACTGGAGCTCGAAAATCCCGACGCCGCAGAGTCCTTCGCCTCCATGGCCGCCAGGCCGCTCCGCCATATCTGGAGCGAGAGGAAATCTCGGAAGATCGCCATGTTCCTCCTGATCAACTCCGCGTACATGGTGGTGGAATTCACTGTAGGGTTCCTGAGCAACAGCCTCGGCCTTATCTCCGACGCCTGCCACATGCTGTTCGACTGCGCCGCCCTGGGGATCGGGCTCTACGCCTCCTACATCTCCAGGCTTCCTGCAAGTGCCCAATTCAACTACGGAAGAGGAAGATTTGAGGTCGTCTCCGGGTATGTCAACGCAGTGTTTTTGGTTCTTGTCGGCGCCCTCATCGTCCTGGAGTCGTTCGAGAGGATTCTCGATCCGCAGGAGATCTCGACGAGCAGCCTCCTCTCTGTTTCCATCGGCGGCCTACTGGTAAATGTGGTCGGCCTGGTGTTCTTCCACGAGGAGCATCATCATGCTCATGGCGGCGGAGCTTGCTCCCACTCCCATTCAGAGTCCGATCACCGCCACCACCACCACCACCACCACCATGGCTGCACCACTGGTGGTCGACCATCAGAATTGGACCATCCTGCTGCCCAACAGTCGGATACCGGCAAAGTGTTCTTCCAGGAGGAACATCACCATGCCCACAGTGGAAGAGCTTGTTCCCACTCCCATTCAGAATCCGATCACCATCACCATGGCTGCACCACTGGTGGTCGACCATCAGAATTGGATCATCATTCCACCCGACAGTCGAAGAGCCGCAGAGATGCAGGTCATCATCATCGTTCTCATGACGATCATAGCAATGATCACCATGGCTGTGTCACAGGTGGTCAACCATCAGAATTGGATCATCGTGCCACCCGACATTCTAAGAGCAGCCAAGATACGGATCATCATCATCATTCTCACAACGATCATTGCAACGATCACCCTGCTGAGCAATGGACAGGGATCAACTTCAAGGACTTATCTGAGCACGATCATGATCATGGCGGCGGCCAAGAACACGAGCATTGTGGTCATTCTCACGGTTCTGAAAAACGCATGGAAATCTATGAGGGTCATGATCATGGGGAAAACACCGATCACATCTCAAGTCAAGCTTGGAATCAGTCTTCTTCAAAATTGACCAGAGGAAAGCCAGCCGAGGAGCCCCAGAGACGCCACGTCGTTGACCACAACATGGAAGGCATATTTCTGCATGTTCTAGCCGACACCATGGGGAGCGTTGGCGTGGTCATCTCCACGCTTCTGATCAAGTACAAGGGATGGCTAGTTGCAGACCCTGCATGCTCGATACTAATTTCGGTGATGATCGTCTCCTCTGTGGTTCCACTCCTGAGGAACTCTGCGGAGATCCTACTGCAGAGAACTCCCAGAACCCGTGAGTGGGATATAAAGGAAGCCATAGAAGACATTGCAAGGATGAAGGGGATCTGTGGCGTTGACCGCTACCATGTCTGGAATTTTACCACCTCAGACATCGTCGGCACGATTCATCTTCGAGTCTCTGCAGATTGCGACATGGTTCTTGCCAGGGAGCAGGTTTCACAAAAATTACAGCAAGCCGGAGTAAAAGACCTCACCATTCAGCTGGAATATGTGTAGCCGTATCAAGCAAGAGGAACTATTTTGATAGCTCCATGTATGCTGAATCGATCGAAGTTACCCTGTTTGACCCAATTTTCTGGCCAGAGTCGTCTTGACAACTAGGCTGCTGCGATGGTGGATGGTTGACTGCGGCGCCCTTCAAGTGTTTGAGGGAATCCCACTCGCACTCAACCTCGTTCTTCACCAGTCGAGCAGAAGACCGAGAACTGACCTTGGAGGAATAACAGACTCGGGCATCTGTGGTTATGCGGATGCAAAGTTTGACCAGCAGTAGGGAGCATAGCTTCATATGGATCCAGAAGAAGGGTCTTTTAGGGCAGCATGAGGCTTTGCTAAACACCCAGACTGCCTAGCCTCACGTAGATCATCACTTCCAAAACAGAAAAGGGCAAAAGGTTTTTAACCCAAGTGGCCCGAAATTGGTGGACCAAGTGTTCTGAAAGCTTGAAGAAGGATGAGATGGCCCGAAATCAAATTTGTATTGTTAATTTTTCCACTTTTAATGTGTTCTTGGAGTTATTTTACATCTCTTTTAAAGTATTATTGTAACTGATCCAAGTTCAAGATTCTAGTCATGAAAATGTAAGACTCAAATCTTTTATCCCACATATTTTGTGATGCCATTGCATTGCTTGTGCAAACCATCTATCTGATGCAGAGGTGAACATCAAAATCCATTACAATTCAGTATATTGGTGTTTATCTTGATATGAGAATCTCAAAGATGACATTTTTACCTGGGGGGAGGGTGGGCATCCTGAAGTTTCATCAGCATTTCAAAAGCAGATGTTGATGAGAAGTTGTCCACGTCTTAGTAGGAAGAGGAAGATGGCAAAGCGAACAATGTCAACTCTCAGAGAATTCTTCGGCAACGGAAAAACTATACCAGACTTGCAGGCTGTCGTCGTCCTCCTGGTGCGGGGGTTCTTCTGCGGTGGATACCTGACAGAGGCGGCGCCGGAGGCTAGAAGATGTCGAGGACGTCGAGGATACGGCGGTTGCAGCTAGGGCAAGCGCCGCGGTTAAGCCGCAGCTCTCGCGAGCATACCCTGCAGAAGGTGTGGCCGCAGGGAATGAGCGCCGCCGCCTTCCGCCGCCTCATGCACACACAGCAGCACCACGCAGCCCCGGGGAAGCCTTCCTCCTCCGTCGCCTCAGCCTCAGCCCGGGGGGGCACTTCCATCAGCAGGCTCATCAGTGAGACTGTCAACGGGGCTCCTCCCCCCGTGCTCGCCGCCGCCGCTTCCCACTGGTAGCTCTCCTCGTCCACCCTCCCCCGCTGCGGCTGCGTCGGCGCCGACGCAGCGCGGAACTGGCGTTCCGCCGCCAGGGCTGTCGCCAGGTTGATCGTCTCATCCGGTGGGGAGGACGCCGCCGGGATCTCGCCGCCGAAGCCGGGATCGCCATCAACCACCGCCGGCTCGCGGAAGCCCCAGGAGCTGCCGCACCAGCCCACACCGCCTTGGAAACACAGCCTCCGCCTCAGATCCCTCCATCTGGTGCGCCCGCTCCTCCTCCCTGCCTCCATAGGATCTCCCCCGGTCCTCTCCGCTCATCTGCTCCTAATCCCTGCATCTCCCGAGAGAGAAGGCAGTCACCGGCAATACACGAGGATGAGGGAGGCAACGGAGGCGATCAATCAACCTGAGAGACCCCATCGCCTCTTCTTCCATCCAAAAGTATGTGGACACAGAAACATTGAAGATCTAACCTTCAAACCTCCGACGACCGCCGCCAGCTGGGGCCTTACCTCGATCTCCACCGCCTGGGAGCCACCATGTGCTGCAGCTACAATGCACGAGGCACAGGATGACGATGAGGGAGGCAACGGAGACGATCAATCAACCTCAGATACGCCATCTCCTCTTCTTCTATCCGAAACTACGAGGAGACAGAAACATCGAAGATCTAGCCTTCAAACCTCCGCCGACCGCCGCCGGTGGGACCCTTACCTCGATCTCCGCCGCCTGGGAGCCACCGTGTGCTGCAGTTCCCCGCCGTCGACGGACCAGAAGATCGGGGAGCGGACATCGGAAGAAGGCGGAGAGGGAGGGCGGCAACGAGGAGGGACGGCCATCTCGACTTCTGAGATCAACGAATAAATAATTATACTAATTATTATGAAACTAAAATGGTATTTAATCGCGGATTATTAAAATCGTATCTCAGCGTGGCGCCTCGGTTTGGTCTCCTTCCCGCCAAATTCACTAGGCAAAGGGTGTAGTGTTTGGACACGTGCAAATTGTGAGGCGACAAATACGCATAAATTGTTCGGCGTAATGTCACCGCTCGGTGTTCACAATTCGGCTTCCTCTTCTTCTTCTTCTTCCGCCTCTGGTGGTTTCCCCGGCAGCGATACCGGCTCTCATGGCTCCGTGCCGGTTTTGACGCTGCTGCCTGCGCCTGGAGGGCATTGCTGCGACGGCAGTGTCGCTGCGTTCTCGGTAGGTCTGCCTCTCTTTCTCTGCCTCTATCTCTATCTCCTTCTTTCATTGGGAGTCATTTCTGTCTGCGGTGGATTGAGCACCGCACGTGCACATCCGCTTCTTATATTTATCCCAAACTTGGTTCCGATTGTTTCAGTTGGTGTATCTCAGGCGTGTTTCCCTCTCGTGCCTTTGCTGGACTCCGCGTTCTCAACTATCCCGCAGTTCTGGTGAAATTTCCGCGTTCTCAAATACCTATGGGAGAATGTGTCTTGCTGTTTTTCTGTTTTGGTAGCTCTTTTCATGTGATTTGAGTAAATGCTGAAAAGTTAGCGTAGCTTGAATTGTATAGAGTTGAAGATCTTTTAACCCTTAGTCTAGAAAATGAAGAAACCTTGACCCTTGAGTCCATAAGACATTGATCCCGAGTTACATGATCAAAATAATTCATCTGAATCTATAAAGGGTGCTGAAATCCACCAGCAGATAAACAGAACCTCAAAATAGATAATTTTTGTGATATTAATATCAATAATTTGAAACGTGTTTAAGTAAGAACATCCCTAAGGAGCCTTTAAATAAGGCAAAATCTAGTTATAACAAATCTAGAAGAGAGGGGGTTACGTTAGAAGGCCTCTAAAGAAAAGGAATATTCTATTAGAACACCCCTAAAGAAAAAAGAGATTCTATTAAAATGTCCCCTAAAGAATAAGAACGCCCTTAATAGACCTGGGGGATTATTTGAAATAAACAAAATGTGGAAAATAATAAAGTGAGAATTGAGATTTTGACACATTTAACATGTTTTCAAATCTCTTACTAGGCTATTCAAAATTGAATTCTGGTCAAATTGTGTCCATATGTATTTTAGGCCTCTAGTTCACTTGAATTGGGTTGAAACTAAGCTTATAATCTATTTGAGTATAAAATTATTATCTTTTCAGCTATTTGGACACATATTCTATTAGTTTTTTCAACATGGGTCAAAAAAAATTCATTCTCCTTTTATTAGATTTTGATGGGCTACATCACTCACCATTTTGGACTTCCATTGAAATCCTATCAAGCAAATGATGTATATTTCAGGCTATGAAACACAACAAAAAGATTTTGTGGTGCCATGCATCAACTATGTCAAATACAATCTATGATGAATTTTGAAAAGGGTTAGTGTGAGAAATAAAATCCATACCATTGTTGATCATGCAGAACTATGACCAACTTGCTTAGATCAGCTAAGTCCATTTAATTTCTTCTGTAGGTGTTCTAATTTCTCATATGAATTATCAAACTTCTTGTTTGGCCAAGTTCTACCTCTTAACATAAATTTGGTATGATTTAACAACTTTAGATGATAATGTTGAATGCATTCTTCAAAATGGACATTTGAACTTGAATCATAAGCTTCAAATTATCAAAAGTTTTTGGTATCCATTGAGATTGTAAGATTGAACCTCATGGGTATTTACATATTTCCACATAATCTTCTAGATCTAAAACACTTGAATGTCGTAAAAGTATGAACTTTCTACTTGTTGTGATAGAAGTCATTAGTTGTGGGCTCATAAAGTGCATAAGGAAATTTTCTACATGTGAAATCAATAATAAAATTTGTTTTATTATCTCAACTTATTAGCCTTATATCAGCCTACCAAAAACCCATGCAATGTACTTATATTTGCTTTCGTGCAAAGCTCCAGATGGTAATTGAACATAGTATGAAGATTTGCTTTTTCCTTGGACTTTTGGCTTTTTGCAGTAAATTAGTTGGCTCAATGGGCAAGGGGTAAACCATAGTGAGGGTTGAGAAAATTGTGGAAAGGAACCTCTATTGGCTCCCAGTCTCTTTTAAGTTTAAAGATTGTTTTTTTATTCAAGCTCACACCAGATCATCATGTAAAAGGTATCACGAGGTTATCATTTGTTGACGTTAACAATTTTCTGATGTTACTATTGAATAATCGATGTCAAATAAAATTTGCTTTCGCTAAATTTTACTAACCCTTGGAATTCAAGGATATATTACTAGCCTTTTAGCAAACAAGTAAACATAGAAAACAAGAATAGATGATTAAGTACAGGAGCATGGACGTTTCAATCTAGTTGAAACCTTTTAAATGTGAAATTGAGGGATTCTTATCATTTCTATGGAAGTTCCCAATATTTTATTAATTATGTTGGGATCAATGCAGCTATTGTTAGGTTAAGCATCCTATAACTTTCACTTGACTGTAGTTAGAGTTGGATCATTTATTTAAACCTCTACATCATAAGACAACTTCGTAGGAGTGACATAGCATGATATGGTCAAAACCCTGCTCATGCATAGATGCCTAGATGGTATATTTATACTCACAGTTAGGTTTTCTTAGTCCGAACCCGAAAGTGAGGGTAATTTTAACTCTCACTTGATGTTAGATAGAGGGAGTAATATTAGTGACATATTTGATTAGGTGCAAGTCATAGGCTTCTATGTTAGGTAGGGCCTTGATAATGAGGTATGATGTCCACTCAAAGCCTGGTCAAAGAAAAAACTTTTTGTAATGATTTTACTCCAAAAATATTTTTTTGTACCATCTATATTAAAAAATACCTCTACTCGTTTTCTTTCATTATTTAGTCCATTTTTTTTAGCAAATGGCTTGATCCAAATTGGGATTGGACCTAACTAACTATTGCAATTTGATTATGGTTCTAGAACCAGTCTTGTTCCACTAAACATTAGATTTTCTTGTCAAAAATCATTCACTAGATATTTCACCTGAAGGTCTGCTGCAATTTTTGTAACTGAAGTACAAAATATTGGTCATTTATTTGTAGATTATTGTATTATGAACACTCCTTGCAGATCCATCTTGGGGTTGTGGATGGTAGTTTAAAGTGTGTGGCAAGGATTAGTTGATATGTGAAATTGTGTCCATGATTTGCATCTGATGAGAAAGAGATGTGATATTTTAAGTGTTAGTCTACATAGTTGTTTTGGCAACTGTAATCCTCTAGTACCCTCTCTAATCCCCTAAGGACTCAGACCCCATGTGGATTTTTTCTAGCATGTTCTGGTACTTCCTTTAGAAATGTTCTCCATGGTTTATTATATTTATATTTCTTTGGTACATGACATTGCTGAAGATTCTAAGAAAAAGATACTGAATATTTGTTTGAAATAGAAGCCAGTTGTATGACAACATATTTCTACGTTTGGCTTTGAAAGATGTGATATAATTCGTTGGGTGTTTGTTGTTGTTGCAATCAGGTAAAGTGACAATTATAAAGGAACAGTTGTATGAGTTACAAAATAATCCCAAATCTATACCTTATGATTTTATATTCCATTTTCTATTTCGCAAAATTAAGAAGAATATGTCTTTCTTTATTTTTTCCCTATTTTTCCTCTTTATGAGTAAGATTTTCTTCTACTGAATGAAATCATAAGATGCATATGATCTCAAGGATATAGTGATAATATTTATTTTCTAATGATAATAATAAAAATCCAGATCATAATCTTTATTCTTTTATGGTGGTTGTTTGTTGTTTTTGATTTTGTGCAGGTTTTCATAATCTTTCATTATTCTTCATATTGTATAGAGTATGAATTTCTACTTGTTATATTGATCTGTATTATTTTGATCCAAGCACAAGTTCTACTTGCTATTTTCTATTCTATGGAATTTTATATAATGCCTCTTCATGCGGTAATATCCTCTAAAAATTTGAAGCATTATTCATCAATTCGAAATTTCAAGCTGTTGTTTCCAAAAACTATGGAGGGATGTTTCAGCTTTCCTTTGTTGAGTGAGATAGTGATAGGATTTTCTCAATTGAATCCAACGTCCATTATGCATTCTTTTCATTGTGGATAAGTGGAAGGTGTGTTCTTTACTAGTCTTTTCATGCTACGAAAAAAAATATTTTTGGAGATTTTTCATGATCTTTGATGAAATTTCTATTAGAAGTTGTCTTTCTTTGATTGAAGTGCTTAGAATATGTTGTAGCAATTCCAATTTAATTAACATTATTCACAGATTAATTTCTGTGATATACATGATTGTCAATCAAACCCTTAAAAAATTGCATATAGAGGGAAAGTAGCTAACAGTTT